CCTTTCGCTCCTCTCTTATTTCCTCTGGAAGGGGCCAATCATCAACCACCTGTGGCCTTACTCCCAAGTCACCCCCTGTTCTTTAACTGTGCCCTTTGTCTGGAAACTCTGTGCATGTGCACACTGGGGACAGGCTCCAGCTGTTTGTCTGCCTCACTGATGTCTGACTCTGAAGGCAGCTGATAACTGGCATATGGCTCTAGCCCCCTCTCTGCATCTGACACAGAACCCTCATCAGAGCCTTCCCAGACTCCAGGACTGGCCCATGTTCCTCCCCAACCTCCTCACTGTCCGAATCTGCTGCCAGCTCTACTGGCCACTGGTGGGCCACAACACCTTCTTTCATTTCAAGTATTGGAATATTGCTATCATGCAATATTACAGCTTGCTTTATTGGACACCTGAGTTATTCTTCATGCCTTGAGTGATCATTTTAGAATTACATACCCTTAGCATCATCTCTGGCATCCTTGGTTCATCTCTTAAAAAAAAAAAAAACAACAACAACAAACTACCTAGTCACCATGATGAAGCAGCAAAGCAGGACTTGTGTGGGGCTTGCAGATAGGAGTTCCAAAAATAACAACTGCAGCTTTTCCTTCTCTGCCCACACTCTGGGGTGAATATGTAATATTTTATCATTCTTTTTGCATCATTTTATTGCACATCCTCTGGAGAATTCTTCACCCATATATGGCTCAGAAATAGGTAAATACAAAATAGCTCCTACAATAAACTTTTTAATTCAAAAACCTATAGTGCATTACTCTACATTATGCTACTGTTTGTCCTTCCTTCCTGCCTTCTTCCTCTTCCTCTGAAGAGGTGATTCAGGTACTGATTCCTGTAAATGACAGGCCTTTCCAGGCCCTTTTCAAGATTAGCAAATCCATATGTGCTCTATACACTCTTAAAACGTTATTTGCTTCTACTACTCCAGAAGAAACAGTACAGGTAGTTCTTGACTTAAAATGATTTGTTCATTAATACAGTCAGGAAATGGGAGTCGGGCACACAACCGAGTCTTCACAGCTTGCAAAAGGCCAAAGGGTTGGGGTGGTCCTGATATCTGGAAGGTGAATATTTCAGAGGGCGAGGACTAGGGCATATCTTCAGGTTCCTGCCAACTAACTTTCTTTAGTTGATGGCCTGCAGCATGTCCAACCTGCCTGACTAAATTGGAGAGATAGAAACAACTGGAAGAAGATTGTTTCTTAGGTAACCCAGCCTCAAGACAGGAAGGGTTTTAAAGATGATAACCAGCATCTTGAATTGCACCTGGAAATATTGACAACCAAGGCAGCTCTCCAAGCAGTGGTGTTACATGTGTTAAATACCCAATACCCTTTCTACTACTGGTGCAGCTGCATTCATCACCCGTTGAAACTTCAGAATGCTTTTCAGGGACAGCCCCATGGAGAACACTTTGTAGTAGTCCAGATAAGAGGTAACAAGGACATGAGTGACTATGAGCAAAGACTCTTTAAAGGAATCTTGTCTTCAAATCATTCAGGTAAAAAAAGAGGTAGAAGGCTATTTATTCAGGGAGGGGGGTTGGGGCCATTCATTTCCAGTGGACTATATGTGAGCAGCATATGAAACTAGGAAAAACATGTTGGAATCTATATGATAATTATCTGTAAACTAATAATATACTTGAAGATTAAATATGGGACATTGTATAAGCTTTCTATAATAAAAGTATTGAATTGGAATAAACACTATAATATACTATGCAAGATCAAAAGAGCATTGAATTGGTAGGCAGAAACAATACCATTCTATAAATGTGTGGTTTTTATGATTTTTTTCTTTGAAGTGGATTTTCATGCAATTCATTCAAAGAAATAATTTAAGCTAGCATGTTACTGTACAAATATTGATTGCATCATTAGTATCTATAATGATGATGACTAGATTCCATTAAACATGACATGTTTATCACAATGGCATTTGCCAAAGTACTTGCAGTTTATAAAACATCCTACGGTATGTTCCATTTCAATGTTAACGTCTGATTATTTATAAGAACTCATTTTATTTGGATACAATTTAACATTCCTAGACTCTTTGCTTAGCTAATGCCTACAGTTATTTCCAATATTTGTTTGACACTCTCCCTAATGTAGAATTCTTAGCAACCGTTCATAATCAAAAGAACAATTCCCCAAACCAACATCTCCTCCTATAGAGCTCCATCACTATGGGTATTCTTATGGTATGCAAGACAACACAAAATATGCATACCAGTGTACTTTTCCTAAGATCCATCATGTGAAACCACTTCATACCACTCACATTGAGTGATAAGAATTAAATGTAATTTTTTTCCATGTAATGTTGTAGAATGATTCAAAACATGCTGCTATGTCACCTTACATTATTGGGGAAATGGAAGAAGTTCAGAATAGACAGTGGACTACTTCCTTTGGGTGCTACCAAAGCTTGTGGTTTCTGTGTTGTGCATATGGGAAGGTCATGCAAATGTTATTGCTACCATGCAAAGTGTAGATCATACATATTGGAGCCAGAAAAAAATAAGAGAAGACTTCTCTAAAATTAGCATTCGTTTTTAATTTCCTCATTGCTGTTTTGATGAAATGTCACTGCACATAATGGGGAAGCAACTGAGCTGGTAAAGTCAAGCATCTGTTCTTCCTTGTTTATATTTTTAGAACAGCAGGGCATAGTGAGAATATTTTGGAGTACTATGTACGTCAGTGTTTCTTGGGGTGCTGCATGCACTGAAGATTGAAACCCAAGGCAGCAGCTGCAAAAACCAAAGGAAGATGCAGATAAACCCTACACAGGGCAATTTCTGAACCAATGTGTTATTTTAATATTGGCAATTAAATATCAACTGATGCTGAGATATAAGAGATGGCGATGGTAGAAATTCCAGTATATTTAGAAGGCACCAGGTTGGAGAAGAATTATTTTTAGCTCAGTGTGGCCAAAATTCAGTGTATGTTAATGAAGAGGCAATTAAATGAATGAATAATTTTAAATTAGTATTCAGTGTGAGTACTTAGAATAATGAAGGCATCACTGCTATTTATAACAATTGTTAGACGGCATATTGATACCATTCTGATCAACTTTTTAGATTATTGTTTTTTTCACTGATCAAAAGCAGTTTTTCTAATGCCTATTTATGAGAGTGGCAGTATTAACACCATTCATCTATGTTGGAAATCTGCTTTTTATTTTTTACTAGACTGTCGGTTTCTAGTGTCCATTCTTAAGAGCCGAGGTGGCGCAGTGGTTAAATGCAGCACTGCAGGCTACTTCAG